CCCTGAGGGGAATTTAGGGAGAAAAAAGATTGAGACTCAAAAAATGTGACATCCATGGTAGTGTAAAATTTATTGGTGAATGGACAATAGCATTTATAGCCTTTTTTAGTAGGAGAATAACCAAGGAAGACACACTTTCTGGCTTTTGGCTCCAATTTGTGACGTTCATGATCATAAACATGAGTGAATGCAGTACATCCAAATATTTTGAGGGGAATTGTGAGGACAGATCGGATTTGCGGATAGATAGTGAGTAAGATTTCTAGTGGAGTGTTAAATTTCAGAATACGAGAGGGCATCCGATTAATGAGATAATAAGCAGTAAGGATAGCATCACCCCAAAAACGGTTAGGAACAGAATTGGTGAACCTGAGAGCACGAGCAGTTTCTAAAAGATGCCTATTTTTCCTTTTAGCTATACCATTTTGTTGGGAGTAATGACACAGGAACTTTGGTGAATGATTCCATTTTGAGACAGGAAAGTTCCCAATGTTTGATTAAAATATTCTGTCCCCTTATCTGTGCGAAGAATTTTGATTCTCGTATTAAATTGATTATGAATGAGATAATGAAACTGTTGAAAAATTGATGCAGTTTCTGATTTTTCTTTAAGTAAATAGACCCAACAAACCCTAGTGTGGTCATCAGTGAAGGTAAGGAACCAACGTTTACCGAACATAGTTTTGATGYGAGACGGMCCCCATAAATCACTATGAATCATTGTGAATGGACTGGATGGTATATACTCARCRGAAGGATAARATGTACGAGAGTGTTTTGCAAGTTGACACACTTCGCAAGTAAAAAGGTCATCTTTATGAAAAAGTGAAGGGTACAAATGTTTAAGATACTGAAAACTCGGGTGCCCTAAACGGCGATGTAAAAGTAGAATTTGTTGTTCCCTAGAATTCGACTCACTACCAACCTGGAGAACTTGTTTATTTCTTAGACTTGGTCCTCTAAAGTAGTAGAGCCCTTCAAAGCCATCAGCATTGTCAATCGTCGTTCCCGTTATCAAGTCTTGAAACAAACACTTAGAGTCAGGGAACAGGGCTTGACACTTTAAATCATGAGTCAACTTCTGAACAGAAATTAGATTGCAACATAATTTAGGCACATGGAGCACTGAGTGCAACGTAATGTTTGGGCTAAGAATAACAGAACCAAAGCCCTTAATAATGGCCGATGACCCATCTGCAAGCTTGACATGTGTCTGAATCGGGTTGGGTGAGTACATGGTAAACATATCATGAAAAGCGGTCATATGATCAGTTGCACCCGAATCTAAGATCCACTGATCGGAATGCTGCTGACTTGTTAAAGCTGCACTAATAATACCTCGTTGTGCCACAAAACTTGACGAAGGAGTAGACTCAACTGGCGGTGTTAAGAGGCGATAGAGTTGTTCAAGTTGTGCCTTCGAAAATGGAGGGAGAGAGGTGGCCAAATCTTGGGAGTTTGACACACTAGGGCCCACTTGATAGCCGGAGGAGCTGGTTCGAGAAGGTGGAGTATTTGTAGGTAGAGGTGGCCGATAATCCCCTGATAAATTCTTCCGTTGAGGACGACCATGGAGTTCCCAACACCGATCTTTTGTATGGTTTGTGCGCTTACAATGATCACACCATAGGTTGTTCCGACGAGTAGATCGGGATGAAGGTGGTGGTGGACCTCGTGCCGCCAGAGCTGATGATTCCAGTGAGAGAGACAGAGGTTTTGTGGGTGTATCACCCATCATCACACGTTTACGGCTTGACTCCCAGCGAACTTCTGCGAAGATTTCGTCAATGGTTGGGATTGGCTTTGTGGCAAGTAAGCGGCCACGCACATCATCTAATTCCGGACGAAGACCTGCAAGAAAATCATAAATTCGTTCCTTCTCGACGTGTTTGCGGAAGCGTTCAGCATCCTTCGAGTTCTCCCATTCGAGATTGAGACATAAATCAAGTTCAGCCCACAACCTA